CGCGCGCGGCGCGTGCCCCGCGCGCCCGTCGCCCGCGACGACCTCGATGCGCCCCGCGTCGAGCGCGGCGCCGAGCCCGTCCGCGCGCAGGTTGGCGAGGGAGTGCGCGGCGAGCGGCGCCATGTGCTCGATGCCCACGACGGTGCCCGCTGCGCCGGAGCCGGCGCCGGCGCCGCTGACGAGGTGGTGGAAGAGCGCGCAGGTGTAGCCCGAGCCGCTCCCCACGTCGAGCACGGACGCGCCCGGCGTGAGGAAGGGGAGGAGGTGCTTCGCCGCTTCTGCGTGCTGCGTGCGCCGCGGCGTGGGTGAGCGGGGGCGGGCTTCGCTTCCTCTCTCAGCGGGGGGCTCACCATGTGTGGGGCGGAGATGGTCGCGTTGCACATGATCGCCCTAGCCGCGCACGAGACGCGCATTTCAGATCTCCGCGCAGGAACAAGGGCAGGGGCGGGGGGCGGCTTACTGGGGCGCGTCGACGTACGCGTCGCGCTTATCAGACACGTAGTGCGCGCGGTCGACCTCCCTAAACGCCGCCGCGAGGCGCGCGTCGTCGGGGATGAGCCCGGCGTCGCGCATGTTCTGGATGAGCTGCTCGTTCGTGCTGCCGCTGCACGTGTATGCCATCTTGCGGGCGCCGCGCGGCGCTGCCTTTATAGTAGATTTGCTGCCTGCGGTGAAGGGCGTTGATGCGAGGTGGCGGAGTGTGTTCATGCGCGGGTCATTGCAGACGTCATCGATGGCAGGCTGTGGTTGGGTTACATAACGGCGGACTACATAATTTCTTGCCCCGTCGATTTTTTTTTGATTTTTTTTTTTTGCAATCAAAGCTCCTTCCACGGCTTCAGAATTCGGTGCTCTTTGCTTGTCTTTGCTCAAGGAAAGTGCAGCTGTGAGAGAAAGGGCCGACGAGCTGTTAGTACTGCAGTTGGACTTATGCTAATGCACGCCAGGGACATCCTTAGGTTATGGAAATGCCCTGTCATGGGAACATGTAAGGAAACAGAATATATCTGTCAAGTACCGAATGTTATGCGGTGAAAGCGCCTCTCATAATGCGTATCTTTATAAAATTTGCTGCAATTAAGTATGCATTTTGAGCTTTATGCACTATCTTACATTTATTTCCCACCTACCGACTCAGTGGAAGCTTCAGTCTATGCATCATGAGGTGTATGTATTTGCAGAAGCTTTGACTGTAGGTACTGCATAGTCGCTCCGATTCCTAAGATTCCGAGCTTTTCGCGCCGACCCGCTTTTGCGAAGCAATACAGGCACGCAGCCCAGGAAGGCCTAAAACAACGGCTTCGTCGCCCGTCCGTGACCGCGGAGGCTAAACCAAAGGCATCGATGATTCGTCCGCGGTTCGCGACGTCAAAAGTCGCCCTCTTTATCAGCGACGAGGCTGCTAGCCGCCCGCCTTATTCGTGCCTATTTGCACCCGCCTTCTGCAGATGAACCCTCCAGAAAGCCCGAAATAAACGGCCGTATCGGCCCGCCTAGATTAGAGGTCTTACCCGGAGACGCCGTCTTCGTCAGACGGTGCTCCGGTCGCACCAAGTCTGCCTTCTCGAGCCGGCGGAAGTCGCTGGACACAGAAGCACGGAGCTCAAGATTCCGTACCTGCAAATCTCCCATCGAGAATGTTCCTGAGATTCTAACAGAGTTCGAGTGGTCGAAAATGCTGCGTTGGCATTCATAAGCTGTCTCACATGCGTATTATCTTTGTGTGAATATTGCGTCAGCAGTAGAATGAAGGTGGGCAAGACAACGCTCCAGAAGGCGTGGTGATATTAGTTGGTACGGAGAGGAAACGGCGAAATAGAAGCTTCAGACCAGTAATCATGGCCAATAAGTAAGCGTGGAAGAAGGAGGGCACAATAAGCAAGCTTGAAACGAGGCAAAACCGCCGACAACGTACGTTATAGTCTGCCGATAGTTTTCCAAGCCTCAGTCAGAACAAACGGACGGATGTGTTTTACGCTTGTACGGCGGTAGTGCAATCATTTAGCTAAAACATACATACCAAGATGCTCAAACGTTGTCATATACGTATGCCCCATTGCCAGCGTTCCGTGAATGTTATGAGTTCGGTATGTAATAGGCGGGCAGCGACTATCGGAGAAGAACACGGCTCCGAGGAGACACCCAGAAACACTGCACATACTGACTGTGTCATATTGGCGTAGAAAGGACCGGAAGAATCGGATTCGAAGGCTTCAGTGCGTAAAATTATTCATCCTACATAGATGGCGTCTTGACTCGCTGCTAGCTTAGGGTGCGGATCGAGTCAAGTCCGGGCCCAAATTTGAAGCTAACATTAGACGATTTTCAGGGAAAACCGATTTGAAACAGTGAGGCATATTGCATAGGTATGAGGGGGGGGATGCGATTGCAAATCTGCTGCAAGATTCAATTCGTTATCAACGTCATGAAAAGAGGTGTGCGAAGCCAGCGGCGCTCGGGCCTCGGTGTCTTCAATGCCGATGCCCGAAGTGGATAACCCGGATGTGACGTAATTATGATCGCCGATCCTTTCATGGAAAACTTTCAGGAAAATAACTTTACTAAAAAAACACACCCTTGTCGTATTTTGCTCCGATTCTCGAATTTTGAGACGCTCCATGGCCAATGGAGCACGTTGGCCCCCTATGAATAAGCCCTCGGACGCTTCCCCTTTTCCGAGCAGCTATCGGTCAGCGTGGATCGATTGTCAGCCACTCGACATGGAGAACGTATAAATTCAGGCCTGTCAGCCTTTTCTCGACAACAGATAAACGCCCTCGAGTCTTCCCCCAGCTTTTCCTCGCACTCCTTAACTCGATCCACTTTCAGACCCTTTGCCATGTCGCAGAAAACATTTACTGGATACGGCATCACTGGTATGTCCTCCCGCTCGTCGAGTTGCTTCAAACCCCTCTTAATTCAACAATCCTTCAGATGCGGATAAATGGTCGGACTTCAGCCTCGTCGAGTATCCGTCCAAGAACTGGGAGGAGACAGACGTCGAAATCGCCATCACGCACTGCGGGTATGTTCTTTCTTTCGACGGCTTATCTGCTTTCCCTCACGGTATCGACCGTTGTTCTGCTTCGCAGTGTCTGTGGCTCCGACGTCCACACACTCTCCGCAGGCTGGGGCGCGATCCCCGTTCCCCTTGTCGTCGGGTAGGAAAACTTGTTATTTTGTAGCGACTTTTCGATGCTAACCTACCGATTCTCGCCGAAAGACATGAAATCGTCGGCAAAGCTGTGCGCGTCGGCTCGCAGGTGAAGTCCGGTATTAAAGTCGGCGACCGCGTCGGCGTCGGCGCCCAGGTCGCGTCGTGCTACTCCTGCAAGCATTGCAAGTCCGACAACGAGAACTACTGCAAGCAGAGAATCCTTACCTACGTGCGCCATTCTGTCGCCGTTGTTTTTCTGTGCTCGGTTTGTCTTATACTTTCCCTGCATTTCAGAACGGCAAGCACCCGGATGGCGTGCGCACGATGGGCGGCTACTCCACTGGCATCGTCGCCCACGAGCAGTACGTTTTCCCGATCCCGGACGGCATCGAGTCTGCAGACGCGGCGTCGATGCTTTGCGCTGGTCTGACGGTCTTCTCGCCCCTTATCCGTAACGGAGCTGGACCGGGAAAGAAGGTCGGGATCATCGGTATTGGCGGCCTGGTAAGTTAAATTAGCCTTCCACACGCCGAATTATATTCCCTGACTTCTTTGTTTCTTCGGCGACCGGTAGGGACACTATGCCATCCTGTTCGCGAAGGCACTCGGCTGCGAGGTCTACGCGTTCTCGCACAGCACGTCGAAGAAGGAGGACGCGCTGAAGATGGGCGCGGACCGCTTCGTCATAACGTCGGAGCAGGGCTTCCACGCGAAGCACACGATGGCGCTGGACCTCATCATCTCGACGCGCGACGCAACAGCCGGGTTCCCGTTCGACGAATTCCTCTCGTCAGTATCTCGCTCTCCGTTCTTCCTGCTCTACGCGTCGAGGTACTTACTATAGCGTGATTCAGGATGCTCGACGTGTACGGAAAGTTTATCACTGTGGGCATACCGGACGATAAGTTCCCTCCCTTGGGCGCCTTCACGCTCGTGGCGAACGCGAACACCATCGGCGGCTCGTACATCGGCTCGAAGAAAGATGCGACGGCAATGCTCGAACTCGCCGCGGAAAAGGGGGTGAAGCCCTGGTTAGCAGATCAGCTCCACCCTGACTAATTTGACCTCCCGCTGACCTACCTGTATTGCTGTGTTTAGGATTGAGGTGCTCTCGATGAAGGACGCGAAGAAGGCTGTCGAAGGCATGTGGAACGGCAAGCCGCGCTACCGCTATGTTCTCGAGCAGGACATCAATGTCTGAGTATGCATAGACTGCCGAGGAACAGACTAGACGAACTGCACATATTTTTATCAAACACACAGCCTAGAGTGTTCTACATGTTGTATATGTCTATCATAACATAATATTAGAAGCGATCGTATTTTCACTCTCGTCTTATTATTTTCCACAGTCTTCTTCCTATTCAAGGAAGCAGCCAATACCGACTCGTCAATTCACGACAAGCTACGCATGTCATGGAACCTGAGATCACCGAGCACGTTGCTAAATATGCTCGGCCGACTTTGCGAGGATAACCGTCGACCACCCGGGGGCGGTCTTATATGTTGAATGTCTTTGAATTAGAAGTTGGACCCACACGTTGAAACTCCGATGCTGCATGGGGCGACAAGGAGAGCCCGTGTCCATGAATATATGGCAAACAGTTTGGCTCATTTTTGAGCTGAGTGATTTGTATGCTAGGTAACGTTAAGTACAAAATAAAGGGCTCTGCTGCTGAAGTCGGTCTCAGATAGTTATTTCGATGTCATTTTATATTTGATTTGAGGCGAAAATGGAATATGGATTATGAAATAAAACAACAATGGAACAATGCAATCAGGCTTCGGGTAATAATATCTCAGACGAGGAACTGCCTCGGAAAAATAGCTGACAACAGCATAATGGAACAATGGCGGATTGAACGCCAGACTTCTTCGATGCAAACGAAGCACTCTACCACTGAGTTATTGCCCCCTACCGAGGAACCGATTGATTTTGTCTTGATAGCTCTACTCAAGGTTTGTGGGGAAATGGAAAAGAATATCTGGATTGCTGAGTCACATTGTGTGGCTGTGCTTTGTGGCACGTCGATCTTTTACTTACTATAAATGTAGTTGTCAAATGGCGAAATCCGAGGACATCACAATCGGATCGCCAGCTGGCACTAATGTGCTGATTGGCTCCGCCTTCAGCTGGTTCACATGCTACTAAGTCGACATCTTTATGCTCAGTACCTTCGTCCTACAGCGTCACATTCGCAGTGCGGCAACCGACTTCTAAGCCATCTGTCTCGTTTCCGATTTCATTCAACTATGGCGAGCGGACAGACTGTCGACACATCTCGGAGACTAGCCGCGCTGAGGGAGCTCCTGGAACGCAAGACACCGAAAATCGATGTCTTCGTGGTTCCGAGCGAAGATGCCCGCAAGTCTTCTTTCTGATCATTCTCACCATCTGGAATGGATGGTTATGCTTAGTTATTGCAATCTTCATCAGACTTCAGCGAATATCCTTCTCGTAGTGATGAGCGCCGTGCTTTCATTTCAGGCTTCAACGGCTCAGCTGGTGAACTTGATAGCTTATTAATATCTCAATCCTCGGATCTCATATGTACTTTCGGTGTTAGGCTGCGCTGTGGTGACTGATAACAATGCCTACCTTTTCACGGACGGACGATACTTTCTCCAAGCGTCGCAGCAACTGGATAAGTAGGCCGAGATTTGAAAAGACAATCTCCTCTTTTTTTCGTTAATCATCATTTTTTCTCATAGGAATTGGACTTTGATGAAGCAAGGGCTTCCAGGTAAATTTCAAGCCCACGACGGAGAACTGTGTTTCTTAATATAAGCCAAAGATGTTCCTACGTGGCAAGAGTTCATTTCAACTGTGCGTCCAAAAAGGCAGTCTCTTCTAGCTCGGCCCTGACAGTGTCACAGAAACTGGAAAGCGGCAAGAGAATCGGAATAGATCCGAGCCTGATTTCTGCAGGTCGGCATTATATTCTGCCCTTACTGCTTTGTTCTACTTGTTGAGCCTGTACACCACAGCCGACGCCAAATCCCTCAGGGAATCGCTGCAGAAGAAAGATTCCGAGCTTGCGTCACTTGACAAGAACCCTGTAGATGTCGTTTGGGGAGACGACAGACCTGCACGAATAAAGAACAAGGTCTTTCATCTTGACGTCAAGTACTCAGGTATGCTCATGAGCTTCTTTTGATCGGGTCAATGTAAACTTGACGGGGACCCGTCATTCGCTCCTTAGGACGGTCGTCGCAGGAAAAGCTAACCGCGCTAAGAGAGCAGTTGACGAAGAAGAAAACCGTCGGTATGGTCGTGAACATGCTCGACGAGGTCGCCTGGCTTTTCAACTTACGCGGCTCAGACATCGATTTCAATCCTGGTAACTAAATCAAGCACAAGCCTGCTAGCTAGAGCTGAACTTCGCCCCAGTTTTCCTTGCTTACGCGGTCGTTACGCTTGACAAGGCTGTGCTCTTTGTCGACAGCGAGCAAATTACTGATCCAGTCCGCGCCCATCTGGGTAAAGATGTCGAGATACAACCTTACGACTCGATTCTCAGCTACCTGAAGGAATTGAGCAACACTTTGGGGCTGAGCGAGAATAAGGTGACTTTATCGCTTGCTCTATCCCAGTGTGATTAGGCGGATACGAGCAGAAGGCTGACTTGTTTTCTTTACTCAGCGTTTCTTACTCGGCAATAACGCGAGCCTCGCTATCGCTGACGCAATCGGAATCGTGAGTGCACGCGTTCTTTCTATCCCAACTTTACTTTTGCATCATTCGCTGATCTCGAGATTCTCATTATGTCTGTCTCAGGACAATGCTCTCACCTCTCCCTCGCCAGTCGCAGACGCTAAGGCCATCAAGAACAGCACGGAAATCACGGGCTTCCGCGAGTCACACGTCCGCGACGGCGCCGCTTTGGCGCGCTACTTTGCTTGGCTGGAGGCACAGCTGGACGCAGGTGCCCAGCTTTCAGAAAGCGAGGCCGCAGACAAATTGGCCGAGTACCGTTCGTGCGTTGATGCCTGTGTCTTTATTTCCTTCTTAGCTGAAAAGGTTATAGCGAGCTCGATTTGTTCAAGGGCTTGTCTTTCCCGACAATAAGCTCGACAGGTCCAAACGGCGGTAGGTGATGACGGCGCTTAGTTGTTAAATTGCGCTAAAAGTGCCGTCCTCAGCTATCATTCATTACGAGCCTGAGCCGGGGAACTGTGCGACTATCCGAAAAGATCAGGTCAGTCGCTGTAAGAATAGATTGAATTTAGACAGTTCATGGACGATAATTAGATATACCTCTGCGATTCTGGAGGTGAGGATAATTCGCCGCAGATAAATCACATTGATTCAACTACTCCGATACTCATTTATAGCTCAATTCATTGACGGCACGACTGACGTTACCAGGACATGGGTAAGGTTATGCCTCTTGAACAGCGGTCGCCGTTGGCTCGAAATTATTTATAGCATTTCGGGACCCCGACTGAAGAGGAAAAGCGAGCCTTTACGCGCGTCCTGCAAGGACACATTGCTATCGACACGCTGGTGTTTCCGAACGGGACGACTGGTAAGTTGTTGCTAGTAGCGTGCGGATCTATGTGCTTTTTCCTTAACGAATTTCATCAGGATTTGCAATGTGAGACGGCTTTTTTTTTTCGTGTGTTGATCCAGTTTATAATCTGCGCGATCCGCAGAGACCCTATTGCGCGACTGCCATTGTGGCAAGACGGACTTGGTTAGCGATCTGCCATTTTGCGTTTCTTCGCACCGGATATTAACATTCATTTTGCTTCTCAATGATAGATTACAGGTGAATAAATAGAGCCCATGTTCACACGTCCTAAATACTAACCTTCACTAATTGGAAGGCATGGTACCGGGCATGGCGTCGGCCACTTTCTCAATGTCCACGAGGGGCCGCATGGAATCGGCCAGCGCATCGGTATGTTCGGGACCTTCGAAAAGCATGTTGCTTCTGCGCTGACATCCTCGGATAAATAAGCATATAACAACACCCCATTGAAGGCCGGCATGACGGTATCTAACGGTGCGTCTTGCAATTTATTTTATATTTTAGGAAGGCTGTATGAAACGCTCGACGTACTTACTCATATTGGGGAACCAGAACCTGGTTTTTACAAGGATGGCCATTTCGGTATTCGCATTGAAAATGTTGTTATCGTGCGCGAAGCACAGACCCCGAACAATTTCGGTGACAAAGGGTATCTCAGTTTCGAGCACGTCACGATGGTGAGCTTTGCGATTACATCTTCCCCTCGTTCTTCCTCATGCTCTTAAGTCCCTCGGCCTATACTATGCCACTGAGCCGATCTGATTCCTTTCCTTTCCATTATGCAGTGCCCGATCCAGACAAAGCTCGTCGCACAAGAGCTTCTTTCACCTGCGGAGCGCGTGTGGCTGAATGCGTACCACGAGGAAGTGCACGAGAAGATTGCCCCTCTGCTCGCAAACGACCCACGCGCGCTGGCCTGGCTTGCGCGCGAGTGCGCTGCGATATGAGCGCGCACCAGGCCCGCCGTTACTGGATTCGTGATGGATGGAAGTAGGGGAACGTGGGAGGGCGCGTTCCGTGGCGCATGAAACGCAGGACGGAGAAGTAGAAAGAAGATAGGAAGCAGATGGCGTATAGTACGGCAGCGCGCCTGCCAGCCATTCAACTCTCTTCGAGCAATAGGCAATGTCAAAGAGTGCTTTATTTAACTCTAAGTCCGGCGCAGTCCCTTTCTGGTGGACGTGCGATCAACTGATGAAGATGGAGAAATTATGACGTGAGTGTGCATTCCCCGTTTCGGGATCAGACGCGGGTGGTAGCTTGGAAACGAAGCATCTCACTCGGAGTTTACTCATACTTATTTCATATCCTCCTGAACCTCGTGAACGAAATGAAGGAGAAAAATGTCTTCACCTTCGCTCTTTTCTGTCTCCCGTTTTGCTCCCTCACTCTAACCCTTCTCCGAACCTTACAACGCGCGTCTTCCGACGTCGTAACGCAGCACATGCAATTATATCTTCTGGGTTCATGATGGGTTCGCCACGAAGAAGTGTTTCATACGCTTCCAAGCTTGTACTCGTCCGATACCAAAGAACTGCGGAGCTCCCAAGAGCCCTTCTCGGGCGTATCAGAGACATCAGAATAGCAAACCGCCTCGCCGCCCGTCTGGCCGCCCCACGAAGCCCATTGTCCTCCAGCACGTTGCGCGCCGGGTCCTGCATTGTGGCCCAAATGCAGCAGGGGCGCTAGGCCGCTTCGGGGCCTTCGGGACTTCTATCTCGAAGTTCAGACTCAGCGAGCCGCGGGACGCGTCGCGACGCGTCGCTTACGCGCGCGTCTCTTTGATATCGCCGTTCCCAGACGCGGACACGCCCGAGCAGTCACCCCACACGTCCGGATTCCCGCCCCTCGCATTTCCGTATTCACATCTGCCTTAATGCCGATTGGCCCCTCGGAAAATAGTACATGTATCGCGCGCGGCCATCTCAGGGGGCCGGCCGAGAAGCTGCCTCGCGGGCAGTCACATCAACTTGACTCCCTTTCCTAACGCAGATCCCTTGATGGCGCGCTATCGGCTCGTACCCTGATATTGTGTACTCAGCACGTCTTGGTAACAAACAGAGTAAAGAAAGAAAGAAAAACACTAGAGGCACAATAGCGTCAATAAATATTCGACGAGGTTGTCGAGGGCAAAGGGAAATAACAAGACAGTAGACTAATTTTAATGCATGTACAAGGCTGCGAAATAGCGAAGAGCAGACAGCAAGTGCGACGAAGGATATGGGTGCGCAGGAGACGGTAGGGTTCAGTTAGGAATCGATATTGGCGGACATGGGGGGTAGACGGGGGACTTGAGAGGGGAATATATACACGGGAAGGCCCGAAAGGGCACAAAATTACATAGCAAGATCGAAAGGGCAAATTAATGAGTGGGGCGTCG